ATTCAATATTTCTGTAGATACAACGTAAAATCCTATTTGCCCTACCACTGCAACAACACACTGCTTGGATGGCTTAAAAGACTGATCAACCAAAACACCAAGATCCCTTTCTTTCTAACATTGTTGAGGTTATTCCCATCCAGATTATATTTATAATTAAAATTATGATAACCCACATGTATTATCAGTCACTTGTAATATTTAATGCATGATAATGCTATTTTTTCTGTACGTAATGTCAAAATTTGTGCATTTATGCATAAAAGGTTTGTTTATGAGAACACTATATATTTTTTAAACAAAATGTAAATATGGGTGAAGTGAAAGCTTTAGGAGTAAGTAGGGGTGAGATGAAAAAGAAAAAAAGTATGAGAAATTATATATATAAATGAACAAAGATTATATGAGTCGAACCACTTGAGAACTTTCTGTGTTTTCCCCATGAATACTTGATGACTATGTCCTTCATCAAATTGAGTGTTTTTATCCATCTTATGTGAGAGTAGTCAATTAGATGAGTGTAGTTGATTAACAAATTCCATTAATCACCCAACTCTAATATTATTAAAGCAAAATTTTTCTAAAAATTTATTGATAAATGCATGTACAGTATTTTACTACAGTTTGAAATATTGAAATGATTAACATGTTTTCAAAAATTTACTAACCTGCAGACCATGTTTTAATAGAAACAAAAATGTTTTCTGGTTGAGCAGTGTTGACTAAATTTCAAACTAATGAATATTTTCATCTTCTCAGTAGTGATTCGGTTGTATTTATTAAAACTTTATCTTCACAGAAAATATTCATGATTATAGTTGTGTACAATATATACACAAGGTGATAATATAATTTAGTCAAGTCTGGGTTTATTCTCAGGAAATAAAATTATATCTACAATATTTTGTTTGAAGGGTACTTTTTCATATAAAATTTCATTATGCAATTTCTTTTTTTTTTTATAGTTATTTGGTTTTGTTTCATGGTGCCAGAGGGGTAATACAATACTTGTGTGTGAAACATTATTTATCATGGTATTCTTAATTTGAAGTGCTAATCACACATACTTGTATGCTTGAATTTGCCACTGTATGGTATCCACAGCACACATTTAGATTCTGGAGAAAATCCAATTTGTTCTTACTCTGAGGCTAATGTAGCACCATCCTTTCAATATCAATTATGAATGTTTTTTTGTTGTTTGTCTTTCACTAAATATAGGTATATAATAATGACAAAAACGTTTTTTTTTTACATTTAACTACCTATTACACACAAAGACTAACATATAAACAGAAAAGTCATACATAATATGATGTATGTAACCATTGACAATTCCAAGCCATTACAGATGTGATATTAATACTATATGATTGATGACAGCCAAAGTAAGGTTAACTGAAACTAATTACATACAAAACTTCATTGGTTGTAAATGAAAACACAACAGATGTGTTTTTGAGGCAGAAGGTAAGGAAGCTTTGAAGATTGTTGATAGTACATATTCGGTTTTGTAGGGTTACTTAATGATCAGTATCTAGTTTGTCTGTGTTACCAGAACTGCAAGAAAGTATCATGGTGCATGTGCTCCTTTAATCCCACAGAAATTCTGATTATTCATGATAAAAATGCTTTTTTAAATTTTTGCTTTGTAGAATTACTTAAAGATCAGTGTTTCGGATACATCTGTTACAGGAACTGAAAGACAGTGTTATAGCTCATGTGCTGCTTTAGCCCCAGAGCAAATACTGAGTATCTTTGGAGAGATGCAGGATTCTCTATACCCTGCACCTTTTAGTACAACTCATCTTGAGACTCAACACTACAAATTTAAATTAGTATCTTCACATATATTTTATGACCTAATCATATAACATGTATTACCTGTTACTCACAGGCATTTTAATAAAACTGATAAACTTTTGCTATTGACCAGTGAACATTGCTAAATAGAGTAATATTTAAACTTTATACATAGGTATGTTAAGCAAATTTGAAAGTTAATCATAGATGAATATAAATGAAATTGAAATTAATAATATTAGAAAAAATTATTGTCTCACAATACATAAATATTTTTGCATATATATATAGCACTGCTTGAGAAATAGGTTTTGGGTTTTTCCATAATTTTGCTTTAACATTCTATGATTGCACTTGTTATTAAATTTTTTTGTAAAAATACTGTGTGTAAGAATATGATATTCTCCATGACATCAAAAAATGCAGTTATGATCATTGTACATTGCTGTTGTTACTTTTGTAATAGTGATATATCTACATGTATTTATATATCTATTTTGCAGTCTGAAGTGGAACTTTTTGTAAATCGCCTTGATTCAGATGAATCTGTAATTCCATTTGAATATCATCAGTAAGTATAAATTATACAAGCTCATATGAAAGTTGTGCTTGAGATCATTATCTTATATACTGAAAATAAAATTGCTGATAATAAAGAAACATTTTAGTGTGAAGTTTGTGTACTTCTAAGTATGTACATTGTGAATTGCCTATATTCTGAAATGATACTGCCTCCTGATACCCAAAGCTATCTTGATCCTGGCCTATTCAGGATATAACTACTGAATGGACATTTCTTTCTATGGCACCTTCTACCTGTAATCTCCTGGGTTAGGTATTGTTCTTTTTCCCAGGAGATCTGTGGTAAGTTTTTCAACATGTATTCCTCACTCTCAGTAGGTATACCCATGTTTAGTATGTTTATGTGAGCTTGTGTGGATTGACCCAATTTTGTCACACAATAATTTAGGTCTTTCATGTCTTCTCTGCTCAATATTTTGTACGTTAGATGTTTATAATTCTTTTACCATCTAAGTCACTTTAGTTTAAATTTGCATTTAGAGTTTGTTTATTTCTTTGTTTTTGTTTAATTTTCAGTTTATGTATGGGTTTTGCCCGATAGTTACTGTTTGGGTTACTGTGGGTGTGTTGGTTCATTATTTATATTTTTTTTAATTGTTTATGTCAGTTTGTAAGTTCCTTTATTTTTTTTATACTAGTCACATCCAATTGGGGATTAGATTTGAGTCAAAATTTTTTATTATTAACTGGGTGCCATTTCATTTTTATGTTCTTCAGGGTAGGTTTTACTTTTGTGTTTTTTGTCTTATCAGTTCTTTGAGTGGACTTATAAGTTTAATACTTTTATCTTCTAAATTTCATTAGTGGTTTTGTACTTTCGGTGTTGCTTATTGTTTTGGCTTTGCAACTTTGTTTTTTTTGTGTACTTTGTAGACTCTACAGGTTTCTTGGTTTTGTTAGTTCATTAGTAATAAGTACTTTCTCTAAGTATGTTTAATTTGTGTCTTTTTGGCTACACTTCATGATGGTTCTGTGGGTTCTATGTGTTCTGTATGAAGGTTTCTGCCTTCAGTTCTGCTACCTTCTATCCATTTCCCAGTTCTCATTCCTCCTCCTTGGGATCATATCTCTTCCAGTTGTCTTGCTTAGTCTGTTCAAGACGTACTACACAAACGGCTGTTTAAAAGGTGTTCACCGCTGAACTGGGATTTTAATTCTGTCTAATTGTTGTCTTGAAAGACAGGAGATTGAAGACCTGTCATAGACATGTCCAGGTTGTAATGTTATCTGGAGCCACCTCAATTCACCATTGAGCCCTAGCTCTCACCTTTTTTTTTTCCAAATCATTGTGATGGATGCCTATCTTCATATCCCAACTGCTCCAATGTCAACTCCTTTTCTTCAGTTCATCCACAAGGTTTGTGTCTTCCAGTTCCGGGTGCTGCTGTTTGATCTTTCTTTGGATCTGTGTGTTTTGTTGAGTTATATGCTCTTTTGCCTGACATTTTCACTCGTTGGGTCTTTGGACTCTCCTTTTCATAGATGACTGGCTCTTGCTCCCCTCTCCCAGTCAGTCAATCATGCCTGCTTACTTCTTCGGAAAGCTAATCAGGTAGGGTTTTCTGTTCCAGTTGGAGAAGTCAATTCTTAATCCCACTTCATATCATCTTATTCCATTGGGAGTTTCTTCAATTCCCATTTTAGTTGGGCCCATCCTTCTCCACTTCAGCTCAGGGATATGGATTGGGCAGTCTCAATGGCCCTACCTTATCTTTTTCTCACTGTGAGTGGGGTTTTCTCTCTTTTGGGGATGTGGTCTTCCTTGGAAGCTCTCATTCCCTTGGGTTGAACTCACATGTGTTCTTTTCAATGGATGCTTCTCGACCAGTAGAACTTCTCCCATGATCCTTTGGACCATCCCATTACCCTTTCCCTGGGATCAGGGCCTACCTTGCCTGGTGGCTCAACAGGGAACTGGCCAGGGTAGGGGTTCCTATTCCTCCACCTTGTTTGGAGTCTCATCTGTTTACCAATGCTTCCTTAGTTGGTTGGTGGTTTCCCTCAATTCCCAAGAGATTTCTGGTTGATGGTCTGTCAAGGAGGCTACTCTCCATTTTCAACATTCTGGAACTTTTGACAGTTCATTGGGCTCTGTATCACTTCTTCCCGCTCCTGAGGGCAATGGGTGGTTATGGTTCACTATTCCACTGTTGTCAGCTATATCACCAAGCAAGGGAGACCACATCCAGATCTCTGTGTTTTCAGACCCTGGATCTTCTTTACTGGGCCCGTGACTACTATGTGGCAATCTAGGCGTGTCACATTCCAGGCATTATGAATCTTGTGGCCGATTGCTAATCTTGACCCAACCAGGCTCTCCCCATAAAGTGTTCCATTTTTCCACTGGTATTTAAGTGGGTGTTTTCTCCACTAGGAACACTGCATATAGATGTATTTGCCACTCACTGGAATGCCAAAATTCCTTTCTTTTGGATTCTGGTTCCACACCTTCAACTCTGGGTGTAAATACATTCAGTCAGGATTGAAGGGGTCTTCACCTATATGCCTACACTCCAATCAGAATCCTCTTCAGAGTCTTTTCCCTTATCCAGACCACTTCTTGATGCTTCCTGCTCATTGCTCCATATTGGCCTGCTCAGACATGGTTCCCTTTGCTCTGGCCCTTACCCCTGTCCCTGTCTCTCCATCGACAACTGTGATTGGACATAGTTCATTCCAGCATCACCAAGCTCTATCTTCTTGCGTGGCTTTTGTCCAGTCCTTTGCCTCAACTCAAGGATACACCCCTCGTGTAGCATCTTTCCTTTCCTGTTCCATTTGACCTTTCTCCTTGTTTGTGTACCAGAGGCAGTGGTCTACCATCAGACCTTGGTCCTTTCACTGTGGCCTCCATCCACCCTTTGTTACCTCATCTTTCCCAGTTCTTCACCCTGTTGTTTGATCAAGGTTGGTCTGTGTCATCTGTTTCTTGTTACAGGGCTACCCTGTTGACCAGCTTCAAATTCTCTGTTTCCAGAAAGCTTTCTTCCTCCTTTTCCATTTCTTTCATCTTGTCCACCCTCCGCATCACTTTGTTTTGCCATATTGGATCTCAGTTTTGTCCTTCATGCCCTATCCAGTTCTCCATTTGAACCCATTGCTATGTGTTGCTTGTACCATCTTTTCCTTGAGTCCTCTTACTCCTCTTCCTTGCTTGCGGTCTTCGTCGTTCCAATATTTATTATTTACCATTTTTCTTATGTTATTCTCTATCCTGATCAGGCCTTCTTTCCCTGGACATCTGCTGGGAGGGCAGGTGGTTTGGCCTTTTCTCCTATTTCCTTACTTTCCATTTCCCACCTGTACTCCATTTCAGTTCTGGATAGACTTCTTTATATGGTTCGTTCCCTGACATGTTATGTGGCTCATCTATTTGTTCTGAAGATTTCCTCTGTGAACCGTGATATGTCCCTATTGCATTCACTGGTCGGGCTCGTCATCTTATACGATTGGTGTATTCTGACTTGTCCATGGAAGGTTGCTGTCCGCACAATGTTTCTTCACACCCATTTTGTTATCTAACTATGTCTTTAGCTGCTCGCCTTCACCATCCTTTGGAGGATATTGTTCAGACTGGTATGCGGATAACTCCCAATACATTCGTCACATGACCTGGCTGTGTTTTCGTCTGGCAGGTAACGTGGTCCTCCTGTAGCGATTCTATACATGTCTGTTTGCCTTTGACTGGGGTAAGTCGACATATTACTTTTCCTCTATATATTTTTAGTTGATATATATCATATTTCAGGATCCCACCTGGTAGCGGGTGTTGCCTGGTCAGGTATGCTTCATATTATATTTGCATTAGATATGAATAATTCTATAATGCTCACTGTTGAGATGGGGTGTTTCTGTAAGACCACCAACAGCTTGTCCAGTGGTATATGTATCTATATTTTTTTTACTAAATGTTACTAGTTCTGTTTATAAAGGACTATCACTCATTGACCTCAAGAGTAAAGCAGGTGGGGATTTCTGCCCATACCTACTGACCTGTGAATCGTACAGTCGGGGTCAGTATGCTTTTCAAAATAGGGAATTACAGATACCCATTGCACTGTCTCCAGTGTGTCATACCTTTGGACTCCCCAATGTGTATTCCCCTTCCCTCTCTTTTAGTGGAACATGAGAGTCCTTACCATTTCTAGTTCCTAGTTGCTGGAGTGGTGGACTGTGGAGGTTTCCGCCTGAGTGGGATTTTTAAAAAACAAAATAATCCATGTGTAAGGAGACAAGAAGAGGGCAATAGTTGTTGAAATCATTACAGTACCAAACAATGAATAATGCAATAATATTCAGTATCCAAGGCACTTTCCACCAGATGTTTTTGCCCAGGCAGACTGCACTTGATGATTATATATTTCTTATGCAAGGCACTTCCACTGGATGTTTTTTGCCTGGATAGACCACACTTGGCATTATCCGACATAACCCAAGGCATTTGCTCTGGATATTTTTTGCCTGGGTGGATCACACTCAGCCTAATCCTCTGTATCCAAGGCACTTCTCCTTGGGTGTTGCCTGGGCAGACGGAACATTTTGATATCTTTATCTTATGCAAGATGCTTCAATTGGATGTTTTTGCCAGATAGACTGCACTTGGCACAATCCGATGTGATTCCCCTCGATGTTTTTTGCCTGAGTGGACCGCATTTGGCCTATTCAAGTACATTTCACAGTCCTTAAACCCTAGCCACTTTGTTTTTATCGCTAGCTAATTTACTGGCACCATACTATGACTCACTATCATTATGTTCAATACTATGTCTTGTTATGACATGGATGTGGACAGAGGAATAGTTATGATGACCCTCACGATTTCACTCATAACAGTAATTTATATTTTTCATAAACCTTTTTATCCAAGACACTTCCCCTGCATGCTTTTGTTGAGGTGGACTGCACTTGTTGATCGCTATATCTTATACAAGGCATTTCCACTGGATGTTTTGCTCAGATGGACTGTACTTGGTGTAATCCGATGAAACC